TTTTTTCTGTATTTTCAAAATGTTGATTAAACTAATTGGAATGACAGGGCAGCACCAATCTAGAGGCAATCCAAATTATTAAGAAGCCTGGAGGTTCTCTGAAGGATTCATTTTTAGATGAAGGGTTTGTAACAAACTCGTGAAGTCTTTCTGGGCCAATTTCATTTTACTATTACATTATTGGATTCCTCTTGCATGTCCAGCTTTTCTTTTGTTGCTGTACTTAATTTTTCATTCTCAAAGCTTTTAAATCTTTTTATTTTAGGAACTATTCGGAGGGTGTGTGCTCTTATTTGTTTAAAGAAATGAGAAAGTAGGCTGTTTACCTAGTGCAGTGTACTGTGAGTGTGCTTCGTATCTGGTGAAATGTATGTCTTCCTTGGGAGGTTTTTTCTCGGCATTGAGCAAATCTCTGAAGAGTTCTTTAAGCCTTTTGTGTATGGTTGGCTAGAGTTATTGTCTTCTAGGCTTATCATCTTGATAGATATAAGAACTGTGTTTGGGGTTAGCTGGATCTAGTTGGGCATTCAGAACGAGATGTAGAGCTTATAATGTAGCTCTCTTGGCAGTTGGAACTTATGTGGTTACTTTGGAGGGAAAGGAATATGAGAGCTTTTGAAGGGGTGGATTACGACTTTGTGCCAGCTTGGTGCAAGTCGTTATTTGTGAATAACTTTTGGTGCACCCTTGAGCTTCCTGTTAGTGGAGGTCTTTCGTAGAGAACCATATTGTTGGTTAGGTTCTCTACTTTTCTTGTACAGGGTTTTCCCCCACAACATCGATAACTTATTACTCTATCAAAAAATGCAAAAGGACAAAAAGGGTAAGCCCCGGACCCTTCTGTTACAATGCTCAGTTTACCTCAGTCCCAAAATCAACCATACAACTCTTTAGTAGGATTCTTGATGGGGGATATTTTGTTTGTTGTCTTTTCATAAACCTCCTTGTAATCTTTCTATTGTTGGTCCAAATACCTTCAAGCCAAACTCTTCTTGATTTTTCACCTTTTTCCTTTTTTTCCACTAAATTCCTTGTAATATAAGTTCCTTGTGTTCCCTTGTCTATATATCATTTCTTTGCTGCAGGTTTATTTTGGATAAAAAGATTGGGGTTGGCCAACCGAAACGTATTGAAAATGCTAAGATCTTGGTGTCCAACACTGCAATGGATACTGATAAAGTTAAAATCTATGGAGCACGTGTCCGAGTTGACTCAATGGCCAAGGTTGCTGAGCTAGAAGCTGCTGAAAAAGATAAAATGAGGGAGAAGGTGCAAAAGATCATCTCTCATGGAATAAACTGCTTTGTTAACCGGCAGCTGATTTACAATTTCCCAGAGGAACTATTTGCCGATGCAGGGATACTTGCAATCGAGCATGCTGATTTTGATGGTATTGAGCGCCTGGCTTTAGTTACTGGTGGAGAGATTGCATCTACCTTTGATAACCCAGAGTCTGTCAAGCTTGGCCACTGCAAACTCATTGAAGAAATAATGATTGGTGAGGACAAGTTGATCCACTTTTCTGGGGTCGAAATGGGTCAGGCGTGTACAATTGTCTTGAGAGGTGCAAGGTATATTTTAGCGTCTTTAATCTTTCTCTGTCTTAACTCCCATTTCTTTGTAGGAAGGAGGGTTAGAGATGGGTCGGAAGAACGGTGTCATTTTGTCTCCAGCTTAATATCTGTTTGATTTTGGTGAAGTGTAAACTACTTGATGCTCACATGTCCTTGCACAGCATCTTTGCTCTTTTGTTGTTGAAATTTATAACGGTTCAAGCGATTTCCGTCCATTGGGAAGTTAATATTCAATAAAGGCGTGTTTTACATCAATATCTCTTTGGTCGCGACATGGGCCATGCATGCGCTGATTATAAGAGTAATCTTTTGTGGTTTGACAGTGAAGTCTGTTTAATTTTGTGCTATCTTTTCATGTGAACGCCTTCTCATATTTTTTTGGCAGCCCTCATGTACTGGATGAAGCTGAAAGGTCTCTGCATGATGCCTTGTGTGTACTGTCTCAGACAGTAAATGACAGCAGAGTTCTACTTGGAGGTGGATGGCCAGAGATGGTGATGGCGAAGGCAGTGGATGAACTCGCTAAAAAGACACCTGGTAAAAGATCTCACGCAATTGAGGCTTTTTCCCGGGCACTTTTGGCAATTCCGACCATCATTGCTGACAATGCTGGTCTGGACAGTGCTGAGCTGGTCGCTCAGCTTCGTGCAGAGCATCACAAGGAGGAAAGCAATGCAGGGATAGATGTCATCACTGGACATGTGAGTAAACCCACTCAGAATGTCAGATTAATTAATTATGCTATCTTGCAATAAGTTCAGAACACACCGTGAATCAGCTTTCTAGATCGTTTTGCCTTACTTTTCTGCTACAAGGTCAATGCAACACTGGTAACAACTTAGCAGGAATATTTGTGATATCTCCTAAACTGCGACCTTGCTTATGCTTTCAATAGAGATGGCCCCTCATAGTCAGGCACCTCTGTTTGAATGTTTTCTAAGTAGCATCTTGCAATTTAGTTTTGGTTGTTGGGGGGGGGGG